CACACAAGACAGAGAACAGAATAGCCTTGGACTCTTCAGTACTGGCAGGTGAATTAATGTCTGTAAAAGTTGCTTAGGCTATCATTAACATATACCTGGTAAGTATGGCAGTAAGATCTCAAGGTCTCCACTGTAATCCTGCCTTCTTTTAATTCAAAGGAAAGTGTTGTACCTTAAAGCAATGCAGACATGCAACAATCATTTAGCTGTCCCCTGTTCCTGTCAGAGGGACATGAGCTGGTTGTGAATCATTCCCCCAAGAAATCTTGGTAATCTTGACTATTTTTGAATTTCTTAATATATTTTGATTTAAAGCCTAAATTAGACTTAAACCAGTGATAGTGTGCCTTGAACCATTTTTGAAAATAAATGAGATATGCTGATGCCGAAATGTTGGTAAAAGGGGATTAAGAAGACTAGGCTGCTTTCCACCCCAGTGGCTTTGCGTTACTATTAAGAGGGATGGATTAATATCAGATTTCTGGTATCTGGTTCCTCAGTGATACTGCTTAATTATCCAGATAAGTGATCAGAGTCAAAGCATGAGTGACAGCATAAATATAAAAAACACCATCTTGTATTTTTTTCCCTTAAAAAACATGTATATTAGTTTTAGTATCATAAAGATACATTTTTAAAGTGCTCATTAAATTTTAAATTTTAAGTAGTTTTTAGATGCTCAGTTTTGGTTAGTCACCCTTTAAAAAGAAAAGTTGTAGTTTATTTATTCATTAGTCAGCACAGACAAGTGGCTCACACTGAAAGACTGCCAAAACCACTGGCTTCCTTGCCCCTGCATTAAAGAGCTTCCGTCACCCATTCTGCCCCAGCTGATTATTCCATTTTCTTCCTTTTCACTCACAAAGCGCTGTCGCAGAGACCTCATCCTTGCTGAAAAGGGTGGGCCAACAGGCTTCTCCTGCCTCACATCAGAGGCTGAAAACATCTGGTTTCTTTGCTTAAGCTGTGAAGGGGAAGACCGTGAATCCCCATGTTGTTTCTGAGCCCAGACCTTCTTTACAGTTCTAGTCTCTGTTGGCTGGTAATTTTATCTAGTAACACGTTTGATAAGTGCAAGTGTGTGAATGTGGCTTGTGTGACAACCTCTGGACTTTTAATGTAGACAAGAAGTTAGACTGATCATGATATTAGGATGGGAAAAAAGATTCGATACCTAGAATTGGTTCAAATGGAGTCACTTTGGCTGTGTTTTTTTGTCCTTCATTAGGTATCACTTATGGGTGTGATTGTATAATATGTACCCATAGTATATATTGTGTCTAACATAATGAATTTTGATAGTACATTTAGAGCTAATCAGGATGTTCATAGAAGCATTAAGTAGTTTCGTAAACCAGTAGGATATGATATTGGTGGGTTGTTAGGTGGTTTTGACCAGGAGTTTAAATGAAAACGAAAGCAACTGTAAAACCAAAGCACTAGACATTGATTGGATTGTGTATGACTTTGAGTTTCTTTTTCTGTTCTCTACAGCAATGTCTTTACTACTAAAAAAACTGTGAGGAAACATTCCCAGGCACTGCATTGTCTACACTTAAAGCATTAGAAGAATCCTTGGCAGACTTTAGACCTGTGCCAACTAGGATTCTCCCAAATAGTTTATGGGCACTGTTCAGGGATTAATTCCAAACAGGGACCAATTCTGACCAGGTAGCTGACCATGTTGTTTTGGAGGCTAAGAGGGTTAAATTGTATGAATAGGAACTGTCTGCAACCAGTAGTTGTAATCATGAAGAACAGTCCCAGGCTGGTTCAATTTTCTAGTACAGATGTAGTAATGCAAGCTTACTTCTGTACCATACACATTTGGAAGCAGTGCTGAAGCAGGGAAGGGGGGAAAGAATATGTTTAACCTAATCCAGGATATATAGGGATGACAGAAATCACATCAACACAGACTCTTAATTCCTTGCTGAATATTTTCTATTGGCTCTAAGCAGTAGTAGCACAAGAAAAATAACATGAAGGGCCAGTGTGGGTCCCTGGAGTCTCTGTAGGGACTGCTGAAAGACAAAGCTGTAAATGTGTCATGATAAACTGAAAAGAAAGAGGTACCACTCTAGGGGGGAACTCAGTGTGTAAGCATCGGCTCATGTTCCCTAACTTGAGTGACAGTCATGAGACAGACTGATCTCTAGGCTTTAGTCCTAGTTTTAATGTGTTGGGTTTTTTGTGTGCGCTTTTTTTTTTTTTTTCTTCTTGTTGTTGGTTTTTAGTAGTTTTTGGGCTTTTTTTTTTTTTTTTTGTTGTTGTTTTGGTGGTTTTTTTTTTTTTTTTTTTTTTAATTTAGAGCAAAAAGCTTCCTCTACTAGTGTTTAAGCCACTGCTTCAACAGCACAGTTTCCAGGGCCAAACTTATCTACAAATCACATGGAAAATACTAGTTACTCCTACTTTCTAGCTTCAGATACAATGGGAGGGTGTTTACTCTGCTGCTGATGCAGATACACTGATGAGAATGATGAGGTTACCATTCATTTATTAACTCCTTAATCAAAGGTTTAACTAGGTTTATAATACATCAGAGAGAGCTGTAGCCCCACTAGGATTCATGTGCTAAGTCATTCATCATCAGATTGTAGTGATAGTGGTTTGAATTTCTCACTCCTGTCCTGAAGGACAGCTGTTAATGACCAAAGTCAACCTCACAAGTTACCACTTTCGCAGTCCCAGCAGGAAAGTCTGCTTGAACACGGAGAGCAAGCTAATTCCCCACCTCGTTTGGGTTGGTCCTTCATATCAGGATTTGAATCTCATATTGTGTATGTCTCAGGGGTATGTCACAGTTATCAGGATGGCATTTGCATATAGTCTGTAATCATTGTGACAGCTCCCTGGTCACTAAAGGAATTTCCTGGAAAAAAAACATGAAAATCATAAGTGTTGGTCAGTGATTTATGGCATTTTTAACTAATCAAATGCAGCTGAAAATTTTGATAAGTGAAAGGTTAGGTGAAATCTTGGCTATAACCTTATCTCAGAACTGTGTGATGCTGCATGCTCCCCTGTCCTTTTTGTGAGAAGGCAACAATTTGTTCAATTTCCTGAAATGACTGCTGTTCCCAGTTTTAGCAGAGACAGGACGTGAAGGTCGTTGAGGAACTAGCCACTTGTAGTCTAAGTTAAGTTATACCATCAGCGGACTCTCCTGTTGTCAGTCACAGGCATGTCTCTGGTGTTTTAGCCTAATCCTAGCCTGAAGTATCTGTTTTCTTTCTGTCGGCTGCCCCGACACGTCGTGTAGATTGCACAACTTACCTGTTTTTAGGGCCTTGCCTTGGACTTTCTCATCTTGTATAATATACATAGTTCATCTCTAGTCATGTCCCCTTTTCACATGGGAGACACTGGCAATAAGAAGTAGCTGGTGGAGTTCCTGCCAACAGGTGTTTCATTTTATTTGGCTGTTATAGGGGTTTTTGATATACTACTGTGATTTTCTTTTTCTTCCATAATTTATGTGAAAATGAATTATGGAGCTGAGGCCTGGCCTGCATTAGGAAGTTGTCCTGCTTTAAATTAATTCTCTATACGGTCAAATGGGACCTTTGGATGTTTGGAATGGCCAACCACCAAATGCTTTCTCATTTTCATACACTGTGGAAAGGGGTTCTCATCTTTATACTCCTGCTCCAGAGAGATTCATCCTACAGGACAATGGAGTGGTTGCTTTTCTGGCAAATAAGCACATTCATCATGGTAAACTTGAAAATCCATCTTTTCTAACTTTTCTGTTTATTTTGTTTTACCCTCAAGACCCACAGTTTCTGTGCCATGAGGTACACTAGTGTTTATTTCCAAAATTTTGTCCCCGATCTTTATTAGCCCTTTGAAACTAAATGTACATTGTGTATAAGTTACCAAGGTTAGTCCTTCACCTAACAAATGGCTAGCTGGCTAGGTAAAAACAAGCTGCTTTGTAAAGACTTGTCCTGGTTTAAGCCCAGCTGGTAGCTCAGAACCACTTAAACCATGACAAGACTCTCGTCTCCAGCCCACCAGGGTACCTGGGTATACACAGCTACAGCCCGCGGTAACTTCTAGCATTCTGTAGTGTATGAACATATGTGAAAAGGAGATTATGACTTTGTAAAACCTTTATAAGGAGATGGCACAGGGCTATATAGTTCACTCTGGCTATGTTTTGCTAGCATTTGCACATATGGAATAACATCTTCCTCTGCAATAATCTCACCTATATAATGGTGTCAGAGCATGTCCTGACAGCTGGAGTGAACTACTTTACACTGTATTTGATATTGTTTCCTTTTTATCTGTTGAGATAGAATGCTTTGCTGTGTATCCTTATACCCCATGGCTCTCTTTTTGGAGCTCTGTTAGCACATCTTGTTTCCATCTGTAATCTTGAAGAGGCCTGTTAGGTGAAAGATGTATCTGTTAGACACATGTAGATTCTGGACAGCAGCCCTTTACGGGTCACGCCTTGAAACATTACTAATTTGGTTTCAAAGGGAGATATTACAGAATGTCTTTTGTGTTGTTAGGCCTCATGAGAAGGACCTCAGTTGGACATAGTGAAATGCTGCATTTGCTATAGCCATGGAGGCCCTTGTTGGAACATATATAAGAATCAGTTGTGCTTTGTCTTGGAGCTCAGCACCTTTCAGGAGGAGTCCCCTGATGAGAAAGGGGGACGGCTGAATGTGTGTTAAAAGGTCCAGGGGACAGAAACTTAGTGATCCACAGCATCTGTTTGATGCTGTCCAAGGCTGTTGAGCAACCTCAGGAAATGAGTGGAAATCTGACTCTTGTTTGACTATGCTGAGTCCTGAAACTGGGACGGTGGGTGCAAGAGGGTTGACATACACATCTGTTCACTCTGTGGCAGTGCTTTGAAGATCTGTGATGTAGCCTGTGGCTTTTTATGGTGCAGTCCTGCATTTTTAAGACTAAGAATTAGACACCTTTGTGCTTGAAGTTAAGCATGACTGTGACTCATTCAGCTGTCACTCTTACAGACTTGGTGTGAGAACCGTATGGATAGGAAGAAGTAACCTAGACCCAAGATGCAAGTTCACGGATTGCAGGACGGGAGGCCAAACACTGAAAGAGCATCTGACAAAAGTAAAGTGAGTAATTGGTCAAAGTTTCCACTTCTGTTCAGTCAAATTTCCAACATAATCTATTGTCTCAGGGTAGTGGCTTTTCGTCTGGTAAGCTGTGGATTCACAGCTACTTCTCTTTTTACAGTTAGTTACAGTTGCGTGTTGGCTGTACAGTCTCTGAGCACATTAGAGCTATAGTAGAAGCCTGACTGGCATTTGTAAACAGGCAATGCTTGGGACTTAGTAATACTCTAACTCAGTGCAGTAGCGTGCCAAAATAAAGGTCATTTCAATTTCATGTTGTGTCACGCAGTTTTGAAGTGACATGTGTTTAACGAGTTTTCTCCAGTAAATGAACGATAGCAAGTATTACATTAATAGGCTTTGATGATATGCCCACCAAAAAAAAAAAAGGAAAAATCTTTCCAAAAACATTAAACTGATATTTTACCAAAGAAAAAAAAAGGAAAACAGAACAAAGATTCAAACTCCTGCCCCCAAGCTTCTGTAATGCAGAAAATTAGGCTTTTTGGCCCTTTCCAGATGACAGTTTGCAGAAGTTTCACTCTAATTTATTTAAGTATGCCCTACACTGAGGAGATTGAGGCTGATCTTCTGATAGGGATAGGAGAGCATGAAGAGTGCAAATCGTGCTTGTCAGAAGCTGTGTCACAAACCTCATGATGGGACCACTAAAGAAGGGAAAATCTGGTCCCTATGTGTATGGGGCTTATAATTGTGCATAGAAAGGTTTGGAGTAGTTTCTGTCTTCTCATATAGCAATGCCTGCTTGTCTTGCAGCTTTGCCCAGTACCCCAGCTGACTGTTCCCTGTTATCTCTATCAGGCTATAGACTCAAACAGGTACAAACTAGAACACAGGAGGAACTGTCTGAACATCAGGATAAACTTTTTCACAGTGAGGGTGGTCAAACACTGGCACAGGTTTCCCTCAGAGGATGTGAAGTCTCTGTCCTTGGAGATACTCAGAAGCCATCTAGACATGGTCCTGAGCAACCTGCTTCAGGTAGTCCTGCTTGAGCATGATGGTTGAATCAGATGACTGCCAGAAGTCTCTTCCAACCTCAACCATTCTAGGACTGTGATTCTATGACTGCTTGATCAGGGCTGCTGACATCTTGTCATACAAAGGCTCAAAGGTGTTGAACAAAATCTGTTCTTGGAAGTGTTGCTTTTGGGTTGTGTGGCACGTTAAAGCTTAATAGTTTCTTCAGGACAGAATAGGTGGGAGAACTATTTCAATACTCAATGGGGTACTTGTTGGGTGTGCAGGAGGGACCGTTATATTGAGACCGGCTTTATAAGGGGGACGTGTGAAGCAATGGGAGGTAGGGTGAACCTAGTAAATGGTTGGTAGTGTAGATATTGGTGATGTACACCTTTCAGCAGTTTGGAACAAAGTGTATACTGGTTGGGTTTTGCAAAAGTTGGTTCTTAATGTTCTATGTAATCCTTTGCAGTCAGAGAATGAAATGTCTTTTGTGCTGGTCACACACCAAGCCTTGTCTTCTTTTTGGTCACTGTTCCTACTGATGTCAAACTGATGGTGAACTGAAAACTGAGAAGTCAATAATGTATGCAAAATGAAGTGTTTGCCCCCTGTATCTCCTGTCTGCCCCCAGTGAGTGACAGGAATAGGTGGAGATCAGGACTGGTGTCCTGGCAAAATTCGGCATTAGGCTGTAATCCTAGAACAGGGCAGCTAAAGTAATTCTAATTCATTTCCTTTTCAAGACACATTTTTCTGAGCAGCACTGAAGGTGTTATGTAGTACTTCGTCTTAGGTACACAAACTACAAAAAGGCTGCTGTGTTGTATACAGATGCTAAATCTTTCTATGTTGTTCAGTTGATCGATTACTTTTTTGGGTCAATGGTTACATGACATTTAACAAGGGACAGCTAAGTCCATGTAGATACTAATTTAAAAAATAGAAGGAGACCATGTACTTGCTGTCTTAAGCAATATAATGAAATTTAATAATACAACCATTCAGTACCACTCTAAATGGTTTTTACGACCTGTTCTGCCCAGTAATCATGCCAAATACATTGCGGTATTCGTATTTTTCCAGTGCAAGGCATGAGCACTTCTATGAGCTTCCATGATGATAATACTTGGCTTACAAATTATTTTCACAAATTTTGAAATGTTTTTAGTCATTTCGAATTCAATGCCAGAAGATAAACAAAATGGCTTCAAGAATATTTGTGATGCTGTGCTTGTTATTTAACCTAGCTTAATGCATTCATAGTAATAGGAAACTGAAGTTACCTTTTGAATGAATGTGTCATGCAACTGAGAAATCTCTTAAGACAACAAAATACTGTGTATTTGCTGCTTTTTGGCTGATACAGTGCCCAGCAAAGTCAGTAGAAATTCTCTTGTGAGCAGAGATAGGATAGTGCTGCACTTCTTTTCCTTTGTTACAGATTTCTGTACAGCTGCACATACATTGTGTCGCTGTTTTTAACTGGCTCTGTTATCTGTCAGGGTAAGTTATTCAGATGCCCCTTTACATTCTAGGTATGCACTGTCATCACGGTGCCTCTGTGCTGGGTACTGTGGCTGATCAGCCACCGTGCACAGATACTTGCACTCGGAGAAGGGACTGAGACATGCAGAATTGTGAAAGGGCCGGTGCCAGGGATGTCAGAGCCAGTAACCAGCCTGGCATTATGGGCCTGGGGGAAACCATCCCCTGGGACTGCAGCTGTGCTGTGGGACTGAAGACAGGTTGGATTGCTGACGTATAGGAATGCTTGAAGGCTGGCTGCGCTGTCAGAGCATCATGTCTCTTGTTTGACAAGAGAATTGTACGCAGTCTTCGGGCCTTTCATGTCTTGCATTTTATCCTGAGACCCATCTCCTTTTGAAAAGACATTAAAGGGGTCTAGCATGTATATGGGTAGGATTTTTTTTCCTTGTAGGAGAGAAATTTTGCAGACTTTGCATGCAAATTGTTGGAAAGAGCAGGTACACTGTTGTATAAACTTGGAGCATGTCAATTGTGAGACAAATGTGATCTGTAAATGATGCATTTGTTTGAATGAGTGATCACAATCAAAAAATACATCTTGAATATAATCTTGCAGTCCAGGAGAAAATAACATGAACACCATGAAAACAGTTTCCAAACTTCATTGTTGTAGTGTAAGACTTTAGTGAAATTATGTGTACGCAGTTACTGAAAAAATCAAAGTTACCGCTTCCATAATAACCATGGCTTTGCCAAAACTCAATTTGCATTGTATTTGCAGAAATCCTGTATCTATACAGATAGGTTAGAAGCCCAATGGTGGTGAATTCTCATACTTACTTAATATAAAGGCCTGGCCAAAAAAATTTGTAAATTCTCTGGTGTTGCTTTTGACAGATGCTGTTAAATAGAACTACTACTAAGTTGGCACTTTATTTTAAAAGTTCATTGATTTTTTTTAAGGACTCCAAACACTTTCTGGCTTGCATTAAATCTGTGCTGTCCTCTGGGTGCATCCTTTCTTCATTAATGCTTCTTTTAAATTTCAAGGTGCTATATGCTGCCCCTGACATAAATGTGTATCTCCCAGTGGAACTTCCCATTCTGGTAGGGCTAGATAAAAGGCATTGTGCAATACTTCTGGCCTGACCTTCATCCAACAATGGGGGTAATTGTGGCATTAGGACATGTATCTTGGAAAGTAAATCAGGTGGTATTGAAGTGCTGGAGGTGTTTTTGATGTACAGAGTTGATTTCAGTACATTATTATAAGAGGAAAAGGCTCAACTTAGTATTCAAGGAGGGATGAACAGATTGAAAGTTATGTTTGGGATGGGCTTTTGTCGCTACTGAAAATAACTGTGGAGTCTCTAGGGAATCTATTCAACTCTGCCACATCTATGTTAAAAGGAAACCACGTCAATTGTACTGAGGAACTTGGATGAGTTTCACAAAACCACTTCAGTGTGACCTAGTGTTTTATCAGTTTTAAAGAGTTCTGTACCTTTTTCAGATAGGAAGGGGATATGAAAAGTAAACAAACCATTCCTGTATCCAGGATGAAGAAAAAAAGTGGATGAGGAGGAGCATGGAAAAGCATACATACATGAATGTAGGTTTTACTGCATGTAATGGCACAGAGCTGCTGTGCCAGGTTTGGGGACCAGCTCTCCACTGTGTTGCTCTGTGGGCTGCCAAATGGCTGTAAAAGTCTTCTCAGAGTGACCATGTTTCACAGTCTTTGCACAGTTCTAAATACCTATTATGAAAGACAGCAAAGAATCAGACCCAGGTATGGGTTATGTGCAGATTCTCAGCAGACTCCATTCTGCAACAAGATCTGCAGCCCACTCAGCAGCTGCTCCACTTAATTGTTGCATACTTTTCTTGTCCGCAATCTTTTCCCTTATGTCTGAAAGGGTACCTTTAAGATTAACTGTGAAAAAATATTTTTAAGATGTCTTATTAGCCCTTGACAGGAAAACTCTGTATTGGGAGACAATGTGCCACAAAATGGGAACTGTGGCTCAGGCTTGGTCATGCTGTTCCTAAGCTTTTCCTGCATGACTGCACTGTAGCTTGAATTGATTATGGAAAGTAAATAGAAGCCGTTAGTTCATTTAATTGTCAGTTCTGTGTCTGTGCACTGAGTCAGTCAATGATTCTTCTGAAGTGACTGCTGCTACATCACATAGCTGCTCACATGGCCATTGGATGTATATTGATGGCACTAATGGAGTCATTGAGCCAAGTTCACAGCTAACAATGTCACAGCTTCCCAGGTATTGATCACAATGATGATTTGTTCTACAGCAGTGTCCTCAAAGCCCAGGCAGTATCAGAATCCAATGTACTAGTTAGTAGATAGGATGACATAGCCCCAAGTCTGAAGAGGCTACATGAAACTTGAAAGAAGAGTGTAAAAAGCAAAAACAATGGTGTGGATGGTGATACAGGATGCACAGTCTAGCTTTACAGTCTTTGAGATTCAAAGAATCCCTTTGAACCCCTTGAAAATAG